GCGCCTGACCCAAGCCATGGTATTTCCAATAACCTCATATGCATGCGAAAGCTGGACAGTGAAAAATTGATGCATTTAAATTAGGGTGTTAGAGGAGAATATTGAAAGTGCCATGGACTGCCAAAAGAACCAATAGATCCGTTTTGGAAGAAGTGAAGCCAGAGTGCTCCTTGGAGGCCAGGATGGCCAAACTTCATCTTTCATAATTTGGACATATTGTTAGAAGGGACCAGTCGCTGGAGAAGGATATCATGTTTAGTAAGGTGGAGGGTCAGAGAAAAAGAGGAAGACCCTCAACATGATGGATTGGCCAAGTGGCAACATCAATGGTGTCAAGTGTGGCAACAGTAGTGAGGTTGGCCCAGGATCGGGCAGTGTTTTGTTCTGCTGTGCGTAAGGTTACTATGAGTCCATACTTACTCGATGGCACCTAACAACAACAACAACAGCAATATCCATAAATATAGGTCAAGTTCATCACATTGTAGCAATTTACACTTGTTTCCTTTATAAAAAAAAAAAAAAAAATTTTTTTTTAAATCTTTAAGTCATTCATGTGAAAAGTCATAGATACCTTAGGGGAAGGTTGGGAGAAAGATGAGCATTATAAAATTTTTGGCAATGATGTGGGGTCTTACCTCAAGGAGACTAGGCATCCCCTTCATTCAAGCGTTATAAGGTCTATAAACTGGCTTAAGCCTGGGTGGACTCAGGGGCCTTGAGTCTCTGTTCTGATTTATTGACACTGCCATTCACTTGGTCTAGAACGATTCCCCTGTAGAGACCAAGCAAGTATTTAGTAGAATGCCCCAAGTCTGTATGAGTCCGACTATTGTGACCACTGCTTGTCCGTAATGACACGTCCACACTGTAGATGACAGTTTGTTGCTTGTCCTCTACCAACACGGCGTCCAGTCAGCCCCCTTGCTGTTCACCATCCATCATGCTGATTTTGATTTATAGTGACCTAATATGGCAGTGCGTTTGTCACATAGAGTTTCCCAGGCTGGGACCGTGGTGGAAGCAGACCATCCCATCTCTCCCTGAGGAGCGGCTGGAAGGTTTGAACCACTGACCTGTCTGTTAGCAGGCAATTGCTTAACCACTGCACCTTTACAAATGTGTTTCTCCCCTTTGTTTTTTAAAGATCTAAACTCACTCTAACATACCAATTTTCCAAAGCCTAGGATACTTTCCTCTACCCTCCACCAAGGCAAATCTGACACTTCAACTTGATGACGTGTAGGCCACTGCTTAATCCATGCTTAAAGGAACTAACTAAATAAACTATTCAATCCTTTCCAAGCTCTTGAGCTGAAACATTGAACTAGGAAGCCGTGTTTAGTAGAGCCGTATGAATGAATTCACGTGGATCCAACTTTGTTTCTTGCATCATTATGTTGTTGTTAAGTGCCATTGAGTCAGTTCCGACTCATAGCAACCCTGTCTAGGGTTTCTGAGGAGCAGCTGGTGGGTTTGAACCACCAACCTTGCGGTTCAAACTGACCTTGCAGTCCAGTGCATTGTCCTGCAGCACCACACCAGGGCGCCCTAGCATCATCACTGTCTTATTGTTGTTAAATTCCATCAAGTCGGTTCTGACTCACAGGACCCTATCTGGGGTCTCCACGGAGTAGCTGGTGGGCCTGAGTTGCTGACCTTTTGGTTCACAGTTCAGCACTGATCCTACATTGGTACAGAACAGCACTCCTGTAACAGGCCTAGTCACAATGCTTCCCAGGGTTCTGGTTGTTTGTATTAGAAAAAGCAAAGGCAGTTCTCTTAGCGGGTAGCGTGTCTTCCTGGGTCACACTGTGTACTCTCACTGCCTGCAAAGTCCTTGGTGTTGCAGGAGACCGAGCTGAAAAGCCCAGTGGAGAGGAAGTCCCTAACCACCATCTGCATGTGTTGCTGAGTCTGCACCTTCATGCTGGGGACATCCTACAAGTTCTGCTGACAGTGCACGCCACCCTGGGAGGCAGGGACCTGAACCTGGACATCCTGACTTCCTGCAGCCCCAAGGACCTCCCGGGAAGTGAAATCTGAGACCGCCTTTCCATCTGGGCCTGACCCCAGAGGAGAAGTATAAGTATGTCGAGTGCATGTGATGCTACATTGAGTTCCGTTTCTCTTGTCTGGAGCACAATCTGACCTGCCAGGTTACCAAAGCAGGTGCCTGGTTTAAGTGGGGGACCACACCCCTGGCCCTGTGGCAAAGCCACATCCTCATGTGGAGCTGAGAAAGACTGTTTATAGTAGGGTGATACCCATGCAGGGAACAGCAGGAGAAGGAGATGAAAAGATCAACTCTGGTCTTAAGGGGCAGCCTGGACACATCGTAAGAGGTAGCATTGCTGAGGTCCTGGTGCTTCACAAGCTGTGATGGCTGCCGGGTCTACTACCTGAGAAGGCCTGGACAGCACCACCCTAGATTGGTCATACATTGAGAGGGGTCCCTAGTGCCTAGCTAACAGCCAACCAGGTAAGAGTGAGTGATACCATTTCTGAGAGCCGGAGTTCAAGAGAGAACCAGAAAGGTAGACAACATCAGTGAAGAACAAGATACGTTACCAGAGAGCTGCAAATGGACCAAGATTTCTTCCCTCGACATTTCTTAAAATGCTGCAGGTTAATGTTCTGGACTGCAAAGTCAGTTTGAACCACAAGGTCAGCAGTTTAAGCTCACTAGCCGCTCCTCAGAAACCCTACACAGGGTTGCTGTGGGTCAGAACCAACTCGATGGCACTTAACAACAACATTGTATTATTCTAATGTCCTGTTATGGCTGTTCAATACTTGTCAGTGTCTCGTCTCAATTCAAATAAGAACTTGCGGCCATCACACCCTTCCTTGTATACTGCGTTAGCTCCGCCTCATGCTTCTTGATGTCGGTCGTGACGTCATCACTCCATTGAAACATTTCATTACTGCCATCATTGCTCTTTATTTTAACTCCTGGGCTTTTAGGAAGTGAATTTCTGAGTATCTAAACATTGAGATATTCTAGTTAGGGTTTTGTCACAGATTTCTTTTACAATTTCATTGTGTTAAGCAAATATGCTGTGATTTCAATCCTTTGAAATGTATGGAGATTTGTTTTATGAAACAGCACGTAGTCAATGTTTGTACATGTTTTCTGTGTACTTGAGGATAACGTGAACTATGTAGTTGGCAGATAGACTGTACTATATAGGAGTATTGGTGTGGTGCTGTGGGTTAACGCACTGGACAGCAAGGTCAGTTTGAACCTCAAGGTCAGCAGTTCAAGTGCACCAGCCGCTCCTCAGAAACCATATCCAGGGTCACTCGATGGCACTTAACAACATATGTGTATTGCATTTATATTAATCTTATTGTTCAAATGTATGTCCTTATTAGAATTTTTCCTGCTTCCATGATTTTCTTTGAAAATTTTATCAAAATATTTCCCCCCGTGATTATGGATTTCTCTCTTTCTTCTTCTAGTTATTTCACTGTTTTCTTTATGTATTTTGAGCCTGGCTATTTGGTTCATGGACCTGGAAATGAGCCTTTTGTGCACATGGAGTGAACGGTTTTCTCTCTAGGGTGTTTTCTACCTTAAACGTCATGCTGCTCAATGCAAGTTCTCCTGCTTCTTGGGGTAGCATTGCATGGTCAATATTTTTAATTCTTTTACTGCTGACCATTTATGTGTTCTCTTGGAACAGTCTAAAGTTGAGCTTTCTTTCTTCTTCTTTTTTTTTGTTTAATAATCTGACAGTCTTTGTCTTTAGGATGAGAAACTTTACTATTTGTTGTATTGTTTTTTCATTTTCTCTCCTTTCTGACCTCTTTGGGATTAACAAGTTTTAGGCATTCTGTTTTTTAAATTCTCTAAAGATGTATAAGTTGCTCACTTGGCTTCTGTTGTTTTAGGGGTCGTCCTAGTGGTTCCAGTATGCCTAGTTATTAAGTCTAGCGTTCTTCCACACACTTACCCTTCTTCAAGATAGCTTCCTCAATCACAATCAATTGGTTTTCCTGCCTAGACATTAATCACCTCTTGTGATCAAGTGCATCATCGTCCAAGGGGGCTGACAGAGGAGGGCTGGGGAGCTTGGCTGTCCAGGCCCTGGCTCCTTCTGAGCTCTGGACTCCCAAGCCACACCAGGGATGCGCCCAGTGCCCAGAAACCAGCCCAGGAGGGAAGTTCGTCATCTGTCCCGGTGCATGAGCAGCAAGCCACAGGTTGGTGTGCCTCTGGCTGGACTTGAACCTCCAAGTTTTGGGGTAACAGTGAGTGTGCCCATTGTTTGCCCCAAGGGACTCCAAACATCAGTTGTCACCTAGTGAAACTGCAGTCCTGGTACCTCTGCGTGTTCAGAGTACAGTTGCGCTCCACAGGGTCTTCAGTGACAGGATGTTCAGAAGTAGATCACGTGGCCCTTCTTCCAAGGCACCTCTGGTGGACTTGAACTTTCAATCTTTCCATTTACAGCTGAGTGCTTAACTGTTTGCACCACCCAGCATCACAGTGGCCTGAACCGAGGCCCTGAAACTTTCCATAGGTATAAGTTTCCAGTCATATTCTAAATAGTTGGTGGTAAGTGCTCTTGAGTCAGTTCCAACTCACAGTGACCTTGTATAGGATTTCTGAGGAACAGCTGGTGAGTTTGAACTGCTGACCTTGAAGTTAGCAGTCCAGTGCTTATCCTACAGCACCACACCAGGACTACATTCTATAGGTTATTGTTAAGTGCCATCAAGCTGGTTCCAACTCAAAGTGACCCTGTATAGGGTTTCCGAGGAGCAGCTGGTGAGTTTGAACCGCAACTTTACAGTTTAATTTTATAGGTGACGGAAGAAAATAAGCGAAGAAAATAAGGTGTCATTTTCTTTAATGTCCCTGTTCAGTACTTGCTAAGGAGGTGGCTCAACAGTCGGGGGGGAGGGCTCTTCCCCTCCTGAGCATCACGGCCTGTAGGGGTCCAGTAACTTTGAGAAACTTGCATTGTGGAGGAAGTAGGCCCTGAGTTTGAACCCAGGAGGTGGGGGTGGGGTGGAGGGGTGGAGGGGGGGCACACCCGCAAAGGGAAATGGCAGTTGAGAGGCGTAGGTGACCAGTGACAATGAACGTTCATGTTGGGTTAAGTTCTGCTTAGAGAGGGAGGGACCACCCATCCCTGGACTCAGCAATCTTCCAGAAACCACAAACTGGTGTTGTGCTGGGAGACCAGCAAAGGGGGGACGAAGGACCCCTCAGGAGAGACCTGGGCTGCGCAGGGCAGTGCTTGCAGGGTCTGGGCTGAGCCCTCTTCTGCCTGCCCCTCCTCGCCGGTCTGTCCCTGGGAACCTCCCCGGTTCCAGCCTCGGAAAGGCCAGGGTAGAGTAACAACGGTTGCCACCTCCTCCTGAAATTCACTGGCCACAAAGTAGTACCCGAAAGCGTCCAGGCAGCAGTTGAAGTTGGCCATCCGGGAAGTCACCTGCACACAGAAGATCACTGTCTTCACGGTGGGGCAGTCCGCGTCCATCAACTGAGTCACCAGCTTGGCCAACAAAGCCACGTGCAGAGGGAGGAAACAGAGCAGGAAGGTGGCCAGATTGGCGGCCACCACGCAGAAGGCCTTGCGGATGGAGGCAGCAGACTGGGGCGGCGCCCGCATCCACTCGCGCCTCAAGTGCCAGAGTACCTGGACCGAGCAGAAGCTCAAGACCGGAAGCAGAAAGTAGAAGAGGAATAAGGAGAAGACCAGGGTCCGCACCCCCCGCGTTTGGCCCTTCCCGAAGCAGAAGCTTTCCCCGGCGGGCAGCCAGGACGCCAACGCCACCACAGCCCCTGTGACCAGCAGCCAGAGGACCACACAGGTGATGGCTGCCTGGCGGGGGCAGCGCCAGGCCCGAGCGCGCATCGGTAAGCACAGAGTGGCGTAGCGATCCACAGCGATGGCGGTGATGAGACTCATGCTCATGTAGGCATTCACGTAGTAGAAGCTCTGCAGCACACGGCACCAGGTGTCGTCTTCGGACCCGCTCTGGGGAATCAGCATGTACAGGACCCCCGGCAGACTCAACAGCAGCATACAGTCAGCCACCACCAGGTTGACCATGTAGATGCGAGTCTCCGTCCACCTGCGCAGGCGGCAACCAAAGACCCAGAGCGCCAGACCATTGAGCAGGGTCCCCAGCCCCAGGATGAGGATGATGGAGACCGTGGTGGCCACCTGTGACACGCAGCTTCTGTCTGCGGTGCAGTTGCCAGATGCCCCGGATGACATGGCTGCCGAGGACAAAGCTGGGAGGGGATAAGAAGTGGTGGGTGTGGCGGCCGCCTGTCCGGGGGCACAGCTTGCCCGCCCTCCTGCTCCCCGCAGAGACGTGGGGGCACAGGTGCCAGGAAAGGAGGGCTCGACCCCTCCACCCACCAGCACCCTGTGCCTCGGCGTCCTGCCTCAGTCCCCAGGCCTGCACTGAGACCCCTCCAGCATGGCAGAGAGGACATACCCTTTCCCGTGAGATGAGGCACCCCAGCCCCTGTCCTGGAACCGGATGCCCTGCCGTCTGCCTTGAAGGAGCTACTGTCCACCCCTACCCGGCACCATCTCTGGCTTCTCACCGCTGACCTCTCACCGCCTTATAAGACTCCTGCACCCATCTACAAGTATTCCCTATCTCCCCCACTACTGCCTAGCACTGACCCCCACTTCTCCCTGTTTTCCTCTTTCTATCCCTTTCTCCTCACCCCATCCCATCTCTCTCAAGATCCCCCTCCCATCTCCCACCTTTCCCTGATTCCAGAGCCATCTCTGTCCACAATGGTCCTGGGGAGCCCTCCGGAGATGCACACCCCAACACTTCCTCACCATCTGTAGGTTCATCCCCACTCCCTGGCCAGGGCAGCTGCCTGGCCCACTGTTTGGCCCTGAGCTAAGACCAGGTGTTCTCACTAGCGCCAGGGACAAAAGTGGACAGAGGAGGCCAGGGTCCCACTCTTCCTTCCCTCACCCCCATAGTCCTGGTCACTCTGTGCTTGCCAACAGGAGAGGGCAAGATAGGACCTGCTAGGGAGGGGGGTCTGGAGGGTGAACTCACCAATCTGGGCCTGGGAATGATCTGCCTCTGGTTCCGTTCCACAAGGGGCCCACTAGGCTGCACCCCCAGGCTATGGTTCCTACTTTCATAATCTAGGCAAGTGGGTGGGGTCTCCAGGCTTGCTCCCAACCAGATTCTGAGAACGGGGAAGTCCCAGAGAATCTGGGTGGCCCCCACCATCCACCCAGCTCAACTGTACGTGACAACTTCCCGCCTCCTCCCTGACCACAGTCCGATGATATCAGCTCGGCAGCCCAGTTCTCAGGGCATCAGATGGGGATCCAGCACCCGGTGCCCACAGCGGAGGACAGAAACATGCTTTCCCATCCCCTAGTCTGCTTCTGGCACAGGATTGACAATCCAGACCCAGGAAGCCTCTGTGGTACAGGGTGAGTGTGAGTTGGGTGCACGTGGGTCCCTGTCTGTTACTCCCATGGGGCAACAATGCCACAGTGGGGCTGAGCCGGAGAAGTGGTCAGGTACTGACGGTGAGTCGGGAGTACAGCTGGTCCTGCTAGGGGCATTCAGGTGACGATGCTGGGGACTGAGTGAGGAATGGGCCCTCCACCCAGAGCCCAGCTCACGGGGCTGGTATCGGGACTGTGTGTTCTGGTGTGATGCCACTCTGGACGATTCTAGTCTCTCAGACGGCAGGGGACCTAAGGACTGCATTTCCCAGAACCTCCTCCTGCCAGGGCACTGGATGCCATTTAGATTCTGCCACCAGGAGGCGCTCTTCCTCTGGTGCGGGCGGAGAAGCCTGCAGCGCAGGGTCTGTGGGGGTGTTTGCATGGCTGTATGTCCCTCTGAGGACACAGGCAGCCTGATGCTGGCACTGGGATCCTGCAGGGGTCCTGACATGGAGGTTAGGTAACGTCCCCAGGACGTCCCCTGTAAACAGGTTCTCAAGCACCATATCTGTCACTTCCTACTCTGCTTAGGAGTCCTGGTGTGGCACTGTGGGTTAATGCGCCAGACTGCAAAGCCGTTTGAACCACAAGGTCGGCGGTTCAAGCTCACCAGCAGTTCCTCAGAAACCCTAGACAGGGTCTCTATGGGTCGGAACCAACTTGACAGCACTTAACAACAACTGCTTGAAGGGAATGTGGTGGTGCTGTAAGATAAGCACCAGGCTATAAATCACAAGGTCAGTGGTTCAAGCCCACCAGCCACTCCATGAGAGAAAAAGGAGTCTTAGGGTAAGCCCCAAACCGCTAACCACAAGATCAGTGGTTCAAACCTTGGCAACCCTCCACAGGGTCACCGTGAGTCAGAACCAATTTGATAGTACTTAACAACAACAACAACTGTTGGAAAGTTCTGACGTGTAATAAGTGAATTATGTGTTGGGTTGTTAACTGCAAGGTTGGAAGTTTGAATTCACCAGCATCTCAGCAGGAGAGAGATGTGGCTTTCTGCTCCCATAGAGCCTTGGGAACCCTATGTTAGAGAAGGTGTCTGTGAGCCGGAACTGGAAGGCTCACTACAACAGCCTGATGGCAGTGGGCTTGAGTCTCTGCTTGTAGGCTCTCTAGTGGCACATTCGTTACAGTGCTCAGCTACCAACTCCAAGTCGGTGGTTTGAACCCACCAGAGAAAGGTGAGGTTGTCTGTGTCCCTATCTATGGGACAGTTCCAGCCTGTTGCCCAGGCTCGCCACGGCTCCGAGTTCACTCTTCCACAGTGCAGTCTGTGTTTGCTACTGTCCTTGAGTTGTGCACAGAACTGTCTATTTTCTTGTACTGAACCCGGGTGGACCTACCGGCCATCGCACAGAAAACTGGAGATGCATTCTCTTGGAGATGGTCACTGAGAGCCTGCAGACTGTGGACACAGCGCCCAGAGGAAGTGGTGTCAGAGCCCAACAGCAGACCAGGGACAACCTGCCCGCTCACCCCTTCCCCTGCACCACCTGTAGTCAAGGTGAGCCCCCATCTGAGAGAAGAAGGGATTATCTGGAGGGGCTGAGCTGCCCAGAGAAAGGGCCCACAGGACTGACGACTAATCATAGCAGGCTGTTGGCCAACCAAATTCTCACGCTGCGTAACAAAGCCCTGAGCTCTGTACGCACAGACCACCAACGATGGCAGATGTGGTGTTGAGGGCCTTCCACCAGAAGAAAAGAGCCAGAACACAGGAAGCAGAGAAAATAGGAGGAAATGGAGATCATGAAGGAAGTCAAGAGGCCTACACAGAACCGTAATTGATGTCCTCACGGACATGCAAGAAGGTAGAGAGTCCCAGGGGAGCAGGATACAGTTTGTAAGAAGTAACTACCAAAGTCAAGAAGGAGTTCTAGCCGTGCGGATCAAGACCCAGTAACAGAGTCACGGCACAAAGATGCGGAGAGCCCTCAGCAGATAGAATAAAAAGCTAAAGGGATCTGTGTTTGACCGCAGACTCAGATAGGACAGAAAAGCCTAAGCTTTTCTTAGGACAAAATACATAAAATGGGTGGCTACAAAAGTGAAACTGTTTGAGCATCCAAGTTCCATTATCAAGAAATGAAAAAGGCAGTCGAGAATATATTTACAAATTATATATCCTATAAGTCATATATCCTATAAGGATCTAATGGGAGCACAGTGGATCTGTAGGATAAGCACTGGACTGCAAGCCATAAGGTCCATGAGGGGAGGGGGGAATGAGACTTCCTGCTTCTGCAACTAAGTACAGCATCGAAAACCTAACATTATGAGTTATGAGTTGGAACTGACTTAACGGCACTTAATAACCAATAAGGGTCTAATATTCAGAATACATATGAACTTTTAAAACTCAAGCATAAAAATAAAATAGCCCCTGAAACTCAAAGGGAACACATGAGCAAGCATGTAAGTTTGCTGGCCACCACATTGGTCTACTGGTAAGTGGAAGAGGGGAAAGGCAGCAATGAAGAAATGGGCTGAGTTCAACCACAGTCCATTGACCTGGAGATGAGAGAGAGAAGAGGAAGGGCTGGTTGTTCCAAAGTGTGGTAAGACCTGGGGACACTTGAGCCCATGGACAAGGACATAGCCACAGAGGGCTAGAACTGACAGTGAAACATTCAGCTGATATGAAGTGAGAGGAGACACACAAGAACACCCAAACTTGCAGATAGTACCCATTTGACCTAGCCTCGATGGCTTGATGATCAGAACTTGACTAGAGGAAGATAAAAAAAACAAAAATTTTGATAAAAGAAACAAGTGTAAATTGTTAACAGTTTGATGAACTTGACCTATACTTATGGATGTAGTAGCTCAAAACACCAATGGAGAGGGAAGGAGTCTTCTTCACATAAAGTATCAACACTATCCCCTCTGTATACAGGGTAGATAAGGACGGGCAACTTAGACATTGGCTACCTAAAATGAGGGGGTGATAAGGCACAAAGTGACTTGCTTACAAGTTTGCAACAGGGAGTTTAGTTTCAGAGTGTGTGGGGAAGGCAGAATCCCCACTGAATAGTTGTCATCTTGTCTAGATGGGTCTGGTGAAAAGAGATGGGGGTTAGATTCTTATAATTCAATAGTGAGTAATTGTTATCATGACTAATTGTGACTATCTCCATCATAATGGTAGAAGTTTTGTAACAAAAACAGAGGGGTAGTTAATCTTACAGTCCAGGAACAGAGGACCCTAGCTAGGACCATCAAAGGGAGAAGAGCATGAGTGGAATGTGGGACCCTATCCAGAGAGGCAGAGACACCAGAGATGGAGGCAGAGATGGGGACATGGAGAGAGGGAGCAGCTGAGGACCCTGGATTCATGGAAAGAGAAAGGCTGTGTGCTGGCAGCCAAGAGGCAGGTTTGCAGAATGTGTCCTTTGGTTGTTCAAATTATTACATATTACTGAGTGTTTTTGTGTACATTACCCCTCCCCCCCCCAAAAAAAAAACAACACAGAGAATAGAAGCAAATGCTGTTGGATGATGATATGATGCACGCACAGAAGAGATTGTAATCATTGCAATGAAATGATGGTGTAAAACTGATGTTCTCCCATGTAAAGTCTCACTCAGTTCACAATAAAAACTTTAAAAACAAACAAAAAACAATAGTCTGCTTTTAAAAACAGGCAAAAACACTTTAAAAAGACATTTCTCCCAAGAGATACATAAATGGCTTTAAAAGCACATGAAAAAGGTGCTCAACATCTTGAGTATCAGAGCTAATGCAGATCAAAACCACAAAGAGACTCCACATCCATTAAGATGCTGTTATGGTAATGTTGTTCAGTGCCGGGAAGTAGCTAGTGTCAAAAATGTGGAGAAAACGGAACCTCTTCCTGCGATGCTGGTTGAAATGTAACATGGGTCAGCCACTATGGAAAACATTTAGGTGGTTCTTTAAAAAGTTAAACATGGAATTTACCATCGATCCAGCAATTCCACTCCTCAGCATATACCCAAAAGACTTGAAATTAGGGACGCAGGCAGATATTTGTACAGCAATGTTTTTTAAAGCACTACTCACCCACATGTCCAAACACAGACGGACGAATAAGACGTACCATGGTCATAGCACACGGTGTGATATTGCAGGTCTGTATGTAAAGAGACATGCACGTCCGATTCACACTACATCTCAGATGGGCCCTGGAAACATTTTGGTGAACTACATCAAGCACAGAGGGCCCGTGGTTCTGTAGGATCCCATTTATATAAAACACGTAGAACCAGGTAAATCCTAGTGACAGATGAGTGGTACCAATCCTGAGGAGGGGAGGGAGGGTGGGCCGTCACTGCTTAGTGGGTTTGCTTTGGAATGAGGAGGATGTTCTGAAGGGTGATGGAGGTGGTGGTGGCCCCATGACACTGTGAATGATCTACTGACTAACCCACTCAACAACAGCTTTTAGGCTCTGTGGTTTTCACCTTGATTATTTTTAAAAAATCTAAAATAACTGAAAGGGATGTGGTGATGGTGTACCATCGAGTTGGTTCTGACTCACAGTGACCTTCTATAGGGTTTCCAAAGCAGTAAATCTTTATGGGAGCAGAAAGCCTCATCTTTCTCCCACAGAGCAGCTGGTAGACTCGAAGTGCTGACCTTGTGGTTCGCAGCTCATAGGAAGTGGAGGAGGGTTCGGAGCAGCCGTTCTCAGACATGAAGGCTCCTCCTCGTTGACAGGGAACTCAGCGTCCTCTCAGCACAGCCGCTGAGTGAACACCCACACTCAGGGAGCTCCCTGCCACATTTGTGTGCTCTGAGATAAAGGAAAAACCTTACGTTTCAGAGCATTAAAAAAGCAAGTAGGTAACATACCAGAGTTAGGAGTCAAAATGACTCAGGCTACCCAACCACAATGCTGGAGTCTAGTAGCATCCATCACCCGTGGGGTACGGGGGGGCACACCACACAGGTAGCATGTTTAGAGGGGGTGCCCCCAAAATGCTTGTGTAGTGTTTCCACAGAGATGCCTTATTTTTACAAAAATACCCTGAAATAAATTATAACAACAAAACCCTTTTTCTTAAGTTGTTTACATATGTAAATACTCATATAACCACAGACTCCACAGCAGGATGATACACTGGACCTCCAGGCTGCTTTGAATTGAAAGGTCAGCGGTTCAAACTTACCAGCCGCTATGGGTCACTATGGGTCGGAAACGACTGGACAGCACTGAGTAACAGTAACAAGACTAGGTGCTAACTCACTTTGTAACCATTAGCATGAGCTCAGGTCAGATGGGTCATTACTATCCAATCACATTGAAGCCTCATGTCGGCTGTGGGGTTGCCACTGACAGTGTTTTCATAGCCGCTGATTTTGTCAAAGGTCCTGGTGTTTTGGCCACACTATTGTGGTAATTAGTATTTGTGAACCTGTATCAGTAACTTCTTTGAGAATGGAGTAGTAACTAAAGGAAAGGAAGGAGAAAAAATAAAAATGACTTCCACTCAGTTCTTACTAATATAACTCACAATATTGTAACAATATAGAAGGATTTTACAAAGCAAGTTTGTTGCTTACTCGAATACACTGGACTAAATACTGCCTTTAAGCAATTTTCAGCTGTATTTATCACCTGTCACTCTGATTAAATTGTATTATGAACAGTGCTAAGGATTCTGCATGGTCTGGTACAGGAGGGGGTCCATGGTGGGGAGACAGTGTGAGCTACCACACTGGGTGACCTACATAGAGTTTGAAAATCACCTGCCACCGGATCTGCATTGGAAGTTTCAGAACGGCACAAACGCCGGGTACACTCGGCTTCGAACTGAAAGGTTGTAAGTACAAATCCAACCACAGGCACCTCAGAAGCTAGGCCTGGTGATGTGCTTCTGATAAGTCAGCCGTTGAAACCCCACCATGACACAGCTGGGGTGGCCGTGGTTCCCCCCACCCCAGCACACATAGGGTAGGGGGCGGCAGGTCCTTCAGGAGCTGTTGCTGTTGTTGTCAGGTGCCATCGAGTCGGAACCGACTCATAGCGACCCCACGCACAGCAGAACGAAACAATGTCCGATCCTGGGCCAACCGCACTACCGCTGCCACACTTGATGTCATCAATGATGCCACCTGGCTGATCCATCTCATTGGGGGTCTTCCTCTTTTTCTCTGACCCTCCACCCTACCCAGCATGACATCCTTCTCCAACAATTGTTTCCTCCAGACAATGTGTCCAAAGTAGGAGAGACGTAGCTTAGCCATCCTGGCCTCCAAGGAGCACTCTGGCTGCACTTCTTCCAAAACAGATCTATTGGTTCTTTTGGCAGTCCATGGCACCTTCAGTATTCTCCTCCAACACCACAACTCAAAGGCATCAATTCTTCTACGATCCTCCTTATTCACTGTCCAGCTTTCACATCCATATGAGGCTATTGAAAACACAATGGCCTGGGTCAGGCGCACCCTAGTCCTCAAGCTGACATCTCTGCTCTTCAACACTTTAAAAAGTTCCTGTGCAGCAGATTTGCCCAGTGCAATATGTCGTCTGATCTCTTGACTGCTGTTTCCGCGAGTGTTGATAGTTGATCCAAGAAGAATGAAGTCCTTGACAACTTCAATCTTTTCTCCATTGATAAGAATGTTGTTTATTGGTCCAGTGGTGAGGATTTTTGTTTTCTTGCCATTGAGATATAATCCATATCGAAGGCTGTGCTCTTTAATCTTCATAAGTAAATGTTTCAAGTCCTCTTCACTTTCAGCAAGCAAGGCTGTATCATCTGCATACCACAGGTTGTTAATGAGTCTTCCTCCAATCCTGACGCCACATTTTTCTTCATAGAACCCAGCTTCTCGTATTATTTGCTCAGCATGCAGCTGCAGATCCCTAGATCTCCCCATGGATGGAGGAAAGGGCACAGGGAGGCCTCAAAGCAAGAGCCCTAGAGGCCTGTGGGAAATGGGCCTTGGAGCTTCCAAGCCTGCATCCCTTCTTCTCCACTGGGAATCTCGTCTCAGCTGCCATGTGGGAGATTTCACTTGAGCTTCCAAAAGCAAGCCAGCCACCAACACCCAACACCCAGCTGACACCCAGTCATGTCCAGGTGTGCTGCCCCTTGGAGTCCCTGGGGCTGGCCTGACTCAGACCTTAGTCCTTGCGTCCTCGTCTGTGTTCCTCTCCCATCCCAGGGGTCCAAGATCCCAGGCTCTGCAGCAGCTGGACGCACACATCTGCAGCCCCTAGGTGAGAATTATGCTCAGGGAGTCCTGGCTCTTGTGGACCTTGGCCCCAGAGACCCTCACGCTCGCCTCCTGGAACTCCTTGGCCATGAGGTAGTAGCTGATGGTGTCCAGGCAGCAGTTGGCATCTGAGAGTTTGGAGGTGAAGTAGAGTAAGATGCTGAACGTCCGCCGCAAGTCGCAGTTGTCCGGGGCCATGGCGGAGAACACCGTGAGAACCAGGTGCAGAGGCAGGAAGCAGGCCACGAACACAGCCAGGTTCGCCCAGATCATGCGGGAGGCCTTCCTGGTGGCCTCTGCCTGGGTCAAGTCAGCCGCAGGCCTCCGGGCCAGGCTGGTCACCACCTGGAGGGAACAGAAGACCAGCACAGCCAGCGGTACGTAGAAGCTCATCAGCGAGACCAGGATGCTGTTGAACTTTGGGGACTGCCTGGAAAAGCAGAAGCCACCCTCGTGCATGTCCAGGAGCCAGCGAACCCCCTGAGAGCTGACCACCAGCACCCAGAGCAGCGCACACACAGCCACAGCCTGACGAGGCGAGCGGAGCCCGCGGGAACGCAGCGGGTAACACACGGCCAGGTAACGGTCAACAGCGATGGCCATGATCAAGCTGATGCTCATGTATCTGTTGACCAGGTAGATGCCCTGAGAGAGGTAGCAGAACAGTGTGCCCTGCTTCTCCATCTTCAGGGTGTGCAGGAAAAAGGGGAGCGCGCAGACTAGGCATAGGTCAGCGACCGCCAGGTTGACCATGTAGACTCTGGTCTCCGTCCACTGGGGTAGGCGGCAGCACAGAACACAGAGCGCCAGGCAGTTGAGAACCAGACCCAGTAGCACCAGTGTGATCGTGTAGGCCCAGGTCATGTGGGAGAACAAGTCTGGCAAAGTAGAGTTGCAGGATTTGTTCATGATGCTAGCCTGCGGGGAGGAAGAGAGGGTCATCAGGCCAGACTCCCTGCCTAGGATCACAGCTCAGAACCTCCCGGACCCTACTGGCTGGACCAGCAGGGAAACCAGGTTCTGAGACTATGCTGGGTGGGACTATGCAAATGAGTGCCCCAGTGGCCCACCAAAGGGACTGGATCGCTTGCTAGTTATTCTGATAATGTGTCTAGCATTCTTGTGGGGGTGCAATTAAGCAAATAAACCATATGGAACCCTAATTTGGGGTATCGGTCAGCTTTGCCATCCCACTAGGTTTACTAGCTGTCCCAGAGGCAGAGGTGGGAGACCCCAGTTCTATAGAGAAAGAAGAGATGGGAACGGGATGCCTCCTTTGGACCCGGAGTTCCTGTGCTGAGAACCTCCTAGACCAAGGAGAATCAGACAAATAGAAACAGTGGAATCAGGAATCCAGTTCCAGGAAACACATTCGACAAGCTAAGACTTCTGACTGCAATGTAGGCCCTGTTTCATACGAGACCCAAATTCCTTTTTCTTCATATGTTCCAACACGGGGAATTTGACCAAACAGTGTGCAGATTAGAATGGTGATGCTGAAGAGTGTGGTTCTCAAGTTCCCAGCAGGTAGAGCCTGTGCCTTTACCGGTAGCCTAATTCCCAGAAAATACCCTTCGGCTACCTTTCAGGAAAAAGAAAAGATTCTTCTTCCCTGGGCCTGGGTCCTCACAAAACTCTCTGCTTTCTCCTAACATGGCTTTAACACCACCCACCCTCCCAAGCTCTGTAAATGTCATCCAGTCACAGGCTTTAGCAGGGGCCCTGGTGATGCTGAAGGTTACCCCCTGCTTGCTAACCACAATGCTGGCAGTGGGAACACTCTGGCTGATCCTCTGGGGAAAGATGAAGCTGTCTGCTCCCACAGAGAGAGGGTTGCTCTGAGTCGAGATTGACTTGGAGAAAGTGGGTTTGGATTTTGTTTGAAATTTTTTTTTTTTTTGGTCTCTAATTGTCTCTTTATACCCTGGTACGTGTCATTGTGCAGGAGAAAGATGAGGCGTTCTACTCCCGTAAAGATTTACAGCCTCAGAAACCCTGTGCAGGGTCGCTATGGATCGGAACCGACTCCACGGCACTTAACAACAACAACAACAACATGTCATTGTGTATCTGTAGTTGGCAAAACATTGCTCTGCCATTCAGAAAACTCTTCATTTTTATTTTAAATAAATCCCAAGTCACTTTTCCAACCACACAACCCACAGAGTGAGACTTGCTCCAGCAGGGGAAGGGGGTGTGCAGCAGGGGTGGGGACAAGACTGGCTGTGCTCTGTGAGTTCTGTGCGACCCTTGCAGTGAACCCTCGAACCCGGCAGAGCAGTTGAGAGTGACGGGGAGGAATAGAATCGGTAAACATTGAAAACAGGAGGCATGTCTGCTCGCTGCCTCCTAGGAATCAGTTTCTGGCCAATGCTGATGGTGATTCAGTCCCCTGCTTTGTGAAGTTAGGGGTTCGATGCCCCACCTCACCACCAGGAAACATCCTGATGTGAGGACCTGATCCCAGGGCCCAGGGCCCAGCCTTGCTGAGGGGGCCACAGAAGCCACTACTGCCAGGGTAAGTCCTACATACCCCCAAGCACAGGGACCTGTGTTCCAGGACACCCATGGTAGCTGGCCTCCTTCCTGGACAGAGAATACTTGTGTGGATACCCTGGATAGTGTGGCCTCCCGCACTAGGTTTGGAAGACTTGGGGCTTCCGGGCTGGGATCGGTGACCCCATGAACTCAGCTCTGCTTTTCCTGCGGGGGTGCGGGGGGGATACAGCAAGCCCACCCCTGCTCCTGCACATCAGCGAATGCCCCTCTGGTTCCTCAGCGACCTAACTTGCAAAGCTACTTCCCCAAAGAGCCTTCAGGGGGGAAACCTATGGGCTGGGAGGTTTCCACCACATACAGCCCCCTTCCCAACACCTCCCTCCCTCTGCCCCTTGAGGGCGCATAGCCAACCCCACCTCGGTCTGCTGAGGACCCCAAGGCCTCCACCCATAGAACCTCTTCCCAGGACAGGTTCTGCGTGGAAACCCGGTAGAAGGTTCCGAGAACAGCCCTCCAGCTCTATGGGGTAGACGCCTGTGCTCCCCAGGTCCAGTGGGGTCAAACCCACAATAGAGGCTTCACAGCCTCAGAGGAGAGGAGGGCCAGCTGCCCAGGACACACCCGAGTTACCCTGTGCTTGCTGCCCACCTTGGACACCCTGTCCTCACGGAGGGCCCCCAGACGGCCAACTCTCCATCAGGATGCTTCCTCCAAGGCCCTGAGACCCTCCTCAGGGCCCCCATTTAGGAGCCCCTATGAGTCCTCACCCCACTCTGACATCTATCACAGCCCCACTCAGAGACCCCCGTACAGCCCCCGACTCAGAGACACCCTCGGAAACCATCACTCACAAACATCCTAAGAGTCCTCATCTCACTTACACCCCATCATGGCCACCCTCCCACTTGGAGCCCCTCAGGACCCTCTGACCCAGCGAGGCACCCACCTGACTGCAGGGAACCGTCTGCCCTCCTTTGTCCCCAAGAAGATTCTATGTAGTGTCCTCTTGGCCTCAAAGCGCCAAAATGACACCAGCAAGAGTGAGTGACTGACGGGGAGGGATTTCAAGGGGGTGGGGCAGTTATTCTGGGAAATAACTGGGAGAGCAAACCCAGATATCTCCAGCAGATGCCAGCCTTCCTCTTCGCCAGCCCACAAGTTCCTGCTGTCACCTCGGAAAAGGGCACACCACCTCCAGATCCAGGGTACCCATCTGTCCTGCCAGGGAGAGCCACATGCACCAGGACCCGCTGCATACATGTGCGTACACAGGCGGGCCACCCTGGAGATGGCATGCACATACACACACTGTGCCCAGACTCGCTCAGTGGCACAACCCTCCTGATTTTACAGAGGTGGGCACTGAGGCGCAGATAGCAGAGGGGCAGGTGGCCTCCTGACCACAGCCCCTGCGCCAGGCTCAGCCCTAAGGCAGCGCTCAGGTCCCCCACTAGCGTGGAGTCTGAGGTGCCAGCCTTCATGTGCCCACTCTGTCTCTCCAGGCTCTGGGGTCCAAGACATCTGTCTGCAGAAGGCCTTGCTGACCACAGCACTCCACCCCTGTCCCACCCAGAGCCCCCAGGGACTGTGCTCCCATCGCCCCAGGTGCATTTCCCCAGCCTCACTGCAAGCCAGGACAGCTGCCCCCTACCCACTCAGGGATGGTCCTCCAGAGACCCCTGCCTAAGACCCACCCCCCAGACACTGCACTCAGGCCTGACAGCCCCAACCCAGCCCAACTGAGGACCCTCCAGGAAGACCAGAGGCCCACCACCTGTCTGTCTGTCTGTCTGTCAGTTCTCACCTGGGCTGCTCAGGTGCCTCAGTGCCCCCAGCCCCCTGCAGCTCCTCACCTGCCCTGTATTCGGCATGGACTTTCAATGGACAAAGCAGCCCTGGGCTTCGGGCTGGGGACCTGTCTGACTCCCCATCCTCTCAGGACACATTAGCAGCCACATCTCCAGGTGGCCAGTGGGGCCTTCAAGGTGGGCTCGGGTCTTCCTAGCTGACTGGTTTCAGGTCCCCTCCGGTTCACACCTCCTGAAAACCTGAACATGCCACGCTGGCCCTGCCCTACCACGTAGACACCTGGGCCCCCCACCTGCTAGCTGGGAGAGCCCACCTGAGGAGTGGTACCGTAGGGTGCAGGGGTGCCCCACGCAGCCTGCCTGGGGATCCAAGAGCGACTGGGAGAGAAACTGGTATGAGACTGCCCACCCATCTAGGTGAAGAGTGGACGTCCACGCCCTTAACCACGACACATAGGTGACTGGATTGAAATCTCCCAGGCAGAAACCAGTGACCAACCTGAATGGTGACCTGTGTGGAGTCACATGTGCCCGGGGGTGGGGGGCAGGAAATGGCACAGAAATGCCAGTGTAGAGTAACAGAAAACTAGACTGGTCCAGAACAAGTAGAATAAAAAATCTAGACAAAACAGACACTAGAATTGATGAGGCCCAGAGAGCTACAAAGGCACCAGAACAGGCGGCGCTGAGATCTCGGAGAGAAGAGAAGCACAGTGGATGAACCATCCCACCATTTGGAGTCTCTTCTTGCCTAAACAATTGGATCATTTAGAAGTTTTGGTGGAAAAGCTGAAAAGCAGTATTACGGCCTTAAAAAAAAAAAAAAAAAAAAAGTAGTTGCAATCCTGCAAACTCCAACTCAAGGTGCCCTGTGTGTCAAAGTAGAACTGTGCTCACAGGGTTCTCAGTGGATGACTTTTCATAAGTAGATTCTACTCATGGCGCCCCCGTGTGGTCATATGAGAACTGTGCCCACAGGGTTCTCAGTGGATGACTTTTCATAAGTAGATTCCACTCATGGTGCCCCCGTGTGTGTCAGAGTAGAACTGTGCTCCACAGGGTCCTCAGTGGATGATGTTTCATAAGGAGATTCTGCTCATGGTGCCCCGTGTGTGTCAGAGTAGAACTGTGCTCACAGGGTTCTCAGTGGATGACTTTTCGTAAGTAGATTCCATTCATGGTGCCCCGTGTGTGTCAGAGTAGAACTGTGCCCACAGGGTTCTCAGTGGATGATTTTTCATAAGTAGATTCCATCATGGCGCCCCGTGTGTGTCAGAGTAGAACTGTGCCCACAGGGTTCTCAGTGGATGAGTTTTCAAAAGTAGATTCCACTCATGGTGCCCCCATGTTTGTCAGAGTAGAACTGTGCCCCACAGGGTTCTCAGTGGATGAGTTTTCATAAGTAGATTCCACTCATGGCACCCCCGTGTGGTCATATGAGAACTGTGCCCACAGGGTTCTCAGCGGATGTTTTTTCATAAGGAGATCCCACTCATGGCACCCCCGTGTGGTCAGAGGAGATCTGTGCCCACAGGGTTCTCAGTGGATGGTTCTTTGCAGAAGTGGATTCCCAGGCCTTTCTTCTGAAATCCTTCTGGGTGGACTTGAACTTGTAGCCTTTAGGTCAACAGCTGAATGAGTTGACTTTTTGAACCACTAGAGGTGAGTAATGCCATGGGGTTTACGGTCTGAGCCAAAAGGAAACTCAGGAATGCTGTTCCCGTCTTTATTGGAGACACACTCACTGTATTGCTACTATAGAGTTCCAGTTCATACATGCACAGGATTATTCACACAAAAAATCCCAAAACTACTCGTGTTTAAACATATCTCTGCCATCTGCGAATATCTGCCTTGTCAGGACTACACTTACGAGACAGGCTGCTAATCTCAAAATCAGCACTTTGAAACTACCAGCCGGATTGGAATCAACTCCCTGGCACATGACCACCACCATCACCAAGTCTCCTTAGGGCACCTTCCCTGGGCATCTGTTCAGCCAGTTCAATTCAAGGCAGAGACGTGAGCTCAGAAGGTTCTGGTGGTTGGATTTGGGGATGCCGAAGGGGTCATCTTAGTAGATTTTCTCGAAGGACACACAACAGTCACAGGGCTTACTGGGAATAAGTCTTAAGAAAAGGAAGACTGCAATGGTAAGAAAAGCACCAGTGAATGTTTCCATCATGACTAGGCACCTGCTCATTCTGTGTGGGTAGGAAGGGCTGTCCTAGGAGAAGCTCATTGGGAACCTTCCTCAAACCAGCCAAACTCAAAGAACACGATCTGAGTCCCTCAAGGGTGCCCTCAAGGGTGCCCTCAAGGGTGCCCCAAGCGCCGCTGTGATGTGGTTGTGGTTGCGTGCCGTGGAGTTCAGTTCTGACCCATAGCGACCCTGGACAGGGTTTCCGAGGCTGTAAATCTTTACAGGAGCAGAAAGCCTCATCTTCCTCCTGCGGTGGTAGTTTCAAATGGCTGACCTTGAGGTTCTCAGCCCGCAAGGTCAGCAGTTGGAAACTACCAGCTGTTTGTGATGTGGTCCCAATCAAAGAGTGTAGGGTTCTTTGGAGAAGGGCTGAGAGGCAGAAGCATCACCTTCAGAGTGTGCAGATGTAGATGGAGGAGATGCTGAGTAACAGCATCTTCGTGCTCTGAGATTGTTTTTTGAGAAAGGCTTCTAAGATGTTGTGGAAATTCCTTCTGACTTATCCTTGTACGTATGTTAAAGCATGACTGGGGATTTCGGCACCCAAGCGTTCTGTGCCTCAGGTTCCGCCTCCCTTGTTCCCTAGTGGACCCAGGAACTGGGAGTGGGGGTGGGGCATGTCTATCACGAAAGGCTGCTGGTTTTGAGATGAGGTTAAGATGAGACCGTGAAGCTGCTGTCTGGCTCTAGGGTCATTTCTGTTACTATCAGCTCTTTCTGTTCCCCTCCGTGTAGAAACCAGTCCTGGGAAATTCCCTCCCTCTGCTCTCTCCTGTGCTCAAAGGCCAGCTCGGAGGTGGACAGGCCCCACCCTGCCATCACTGTCCTGTCCCGTGGGGCATGTGTATGGGTGGAGTTCTCCACACACTACTTCTCAAAAGACCAGTTCCCCCTCCTGCCCAACAGGAAGAAGGGTGTAGCTAGGCACAACTACCCAAAACCCCAGCCCAAACCTCAGCCTTTCCTGCGTCACCCTCCGGATCCCCTGCAGTCCTGAAGGTACCCTGCCCTGGAGGCTTCATCAGTGTAGACAGGGGAGAGGAAGGAGGAGGAGAGCCC